AAATTGTAACCTTAATCCCCAATGTCTTATGTAATTACAAACATATGAAACAGATATGGATATATTTGCCTTCTCTTATTTATTTATTTATTTTTCAGATTTATATAACTGCCCTTCTCATATTCATGACTCTGGGCAGCTTACAAGCAATTAAAACAAATATAAAAACAATAAAAAAGAATAATACAACAATTTTAAAACAAGAAAAAATATAAAGGCATACAAAAAAACCATCATAAAATACATAAAACAGCCAAGGTAATCCCATTCATCAAAGCAATTAGTACAGCCACTGCACCAGCTCCACCACACTCTTGGGTCCCCATGCCCATTGGCAAAACCATGCCTTCAGGGCCTTGCGAACAGCCAGCAACGACAGGGCCAATTTGATCTCGGGGGTGGGGGGGATACTCTCTGGCTGATGGGACACGCAACATACCCCTCCTGCAGGACTAAATGGGACAGGCAGATGTAATGGGGAGAGGTGGTCCCTCAAGTAACTCAATCCCATGCCTTTCTTACATAGAAGCCAAACTAAATCAATTTTTTAAAAGTTAGGATATAATTGTTTATATGCAACTAATTCCCTGAATACTGTACGTACTTGAAGGAAAAACTAGGTTTCATCCCAAATCATTTACTTTAACGGTGGTTCATCTTAGCTTTGCTGAGCATAAGTAATGAAGAGAAATGTGTTCTGTCTAACTTCCAGTAGTAGGGAGGTGAGCTCTTAAATTCAAGATTTTCCTAACTGTTTTGTAAAATATAGTATCAATTACCAGTTTTCACTGGTTAACAGCAGCCCTGATGGATCACACAAAATCCTATCTAGTCTAGTGTCTTGTTTCTTATAGCAACTAACAAGAAGCCTGATTAAAACAAAGTGGAAATGAAGGCAGACTGTGTGGGTTTTTCTGATATTTAGAAGCACATTATATAAACTGCGATGGGAGTTTGGGGAGAACATGTAAATCAAATTTTCTGAAATTTCCCCTGCCCTAAATAACTGAGACCTTGTTAGCATGTTATTTAACATACATTTAATAAACCAGTATTCACCTTTAAAGCCCTACATGGCATGGGACCAGGCTACCTGAGGCTACCCGTCTCATCCCCATTATGTTGACCCATTCCACCCAGTCAGGCAGAGGAGGTATGTTACGGACCCCTTTTACAAAAGAATGTCTAGTGGGGCCCAGGAGGGGAGCCTTCTCTGCCATTGCCCCTGCCCTATGGAACACTCTTCCCCCAGAGATGAGGCGGGTCCCCACTCTCCCGGCCTTCCAGAAAGGGGCAAAGACCTGGCTCTGCCAACTCACATGGGGCAAGAAAGGATATAACCAACCCTGGGGGTGGCTGGTGCCTTGAAGATGCTCCCCGAGTCTAATAAATTTTAATTAACATCAGTTCCTTGGAAGCTATTTATTTTTATATAGGAATCTTGTTGTATTCTAATGCACTTTAATTAATATTTATTCTATTTTAATTAATATTTATTCTTTTTACTGTAAACTGCCCATAGTCACTCTACAGCAATTAGGGCAGTGACAAATTTGAAACAAACAAACAAACAAACAAAATTCTTACGAAGTCAAATAAGAATGAGTGGCCTGTTTTTTCATATTGACAGCAGAACTCCTTCCTGTCATTAGGGGAGAGCAGGCCATTAATTTCTTGGAAGGCTGAAAAGATGCTACTCGCTCTTGTGCATGTTTTGTGTGTCTCAGAAGCAGTTTAGGCAACTTACAGTAAATAAGTTTAAATTTTTACATGTTGTAAAAAGGCGTTTTACAAAAAGTTTGATGTTTACAAAAAAGTTTTTACAAAAAAATTGATTTTTTTCTAATAGTAAAACACTGTAATATTAGATTGGGGTGGATCAATAAAAAGCACTTAGTGTGGTTTAAATGTTCTCTTCAAACAAACCCAAGCTACTCCTATTTTTTAAGAATGTTTGTTAAATATTTTAAACATGATACTGGTAACATAATTTTATGGCTTCTATATTCACCTCACATCTATATTTAAACAGAAAAAGTAAAATATAAAGTTCTCAATGCTCTAGCCCAGAGTTTCAAACTTATGGGTCATAGGCCAAATGTGGCCTTTCAAATAATTTTCTGCAGCCTGCAACAGTACTTTAAGAGGAAAGAATAAGCCCAACATGGCATCCATCTCTTAGCTGGTAAGGTCTACACCAAAAGAAGGCAGCCGTGCTTCCTGATGACTTCAATGGGTATTAACACATACAGTGAGAGAGTAACCAAGATCAGCAATCTGTTACCTTACTGTTGGCAATCTGTCCTACTGGACGTGCAGTGAGTAAGGCATTTTCTCTTCTTCTGGGTCCTAGGTGAGCTGGCACCCTCTGGTTCTCTGCCTCATCTCCATTAATCTGTCCAACTAATTTGTTCTTGCCAGGCAACAGGCAAAGATGTACAAGACCACGGCATTCACTGGGTTCACTGCAACTGGTGATGCCCACAGCTCCAAGCTGAGAAGGAAGTGTGGCTCCACACCTGGGCAGGACAGGCAGAGTGCTGGCTCAACTCCTAGCCTTGCATCAAGGCACTAGCCAGGGCTGAGGCCTGCTCTTCCCTATCTATTTTTCCTACCACCCTCAGCTGCAGCTCCTCCTTGTTATTAGCAGCAGCTATCCAGATCTACTTCAGGTGGCTTGCTGCACCAACCTTGCTATCTCCTGCCTGGGTGCCTCAGATGGAGGAGAGGCCCGGAATAGAGAGGCAGTGGCAGAATCCATGAATCCAATGCAGTGATGGCTCAAGGCCAGCTCTGGTAGAAAGTACATCTGTCTGGAGTTTCAATGCTCCCACATTATAATGGGGTTGCTGGGGACTCTTGTGCAAAACCAGCAGCTTTACTGTTCTTAACTGCTCTCCACACAAGAGCGATCCACCACATACCCAGTTCCATTGGCAACAACGATCCAAACCGTCACTGCACAGCTATCACTGTGGCTGAAATGGCTAAAGTGAACAGCACTAAAATGAAAAGTACTGCAGCCTTTCAACTATTTTCATTTCCCTCAAAATTGTTTGAGCAATATAAATGATCTACTGGGCACTGAACCTTGCTTGCAATCACAAAGTTAAATTGAGCAGACTGCCACTGCTAGATTATCTTCATGGTTCATCCTTCATGAATTGAATTCTGTGTCACAAGGAATTCAAATGAGATTTATCAAATTCAGATCACAAATCATTCTCCCAAAATTTGCTGAGACTTTTAAGAGAACCTGTTGCACTTGACATGCTTTTTAAATAATGCTGAAGAAATCTGCTTAATTTTAAATGAAGTAGATGTACACCAGGATTCAAATATTGTTAATGATATTAACAATAGGAAACTTCAGAAATAGTGAACTGAGGAAAGAATAATCAAACTGTCTTATTTGAAGCCAAGTTAAATTTATGACCAAGTTAAATGTATTCTGCAAAATACATCCAGTAACAGAACTTCCCATCAATAATCAAATCTTTAATTTTATAAAATCTGTCTTCCCACACCTTGTATTGAATACATTTTTACTCATGTTCAAGAAAAGGAAAACTGAGGGAGAAAAGAGAGATCAAGAGCCAATTTTCGCTTCCACTTAGAAAATCCATGCAAACATAATTTGTGCCCATTGGACGTTTTGAATTCCTAAAGATACAAATTGTCCTAATTGAAAAGCATAACATTGTACTACTTCATCCAATAATTATTCTGCAAGATATCCCTTTCAATATCTCCTTACCCCTCAGAATACATTTCCTTATATAATTTGTACATTTTAAAAAAATCACTGCTTATGTTTATATAGTAGTTTTTTTCAGACTTTCAAAATTATAGCACTGTATGCTAAATAATACGTGAAGATCTATTTTTCAAATAAAGTGCCTCATCGTGAAACATACAATAACTGATAGCAGGCAAGCTTCTGTAGAGCATGAGAAAATCAATACAGAAGGAACAACAATACACAGCCTTAATACAGCCTTTCTGGAGTATTTAAGAGTGATTCCACTTGGTATAAGTTGATTCATTTAGTTCCTCCCTCTTTTCCATTGTGTCTTTAATTTCACCACTTCTTACGTGTCCCATTCTCTTTCTTCTCTTTTCCACCAAGTTATTTACGATGAAGCCGACCACTTTCTTTCATTAAAAAAGAAGGCTGTTCAAATTAACCTAGATCTGTTTCAACAAACCGGAGGGAAGGGGGGGGTAGCTTTTATTTTATTGTAATACTTGCGAGGGAGGCACAGCGGGTTCCTGTCGAGAGACATCCCGCCCCCCGCACGAGTTGCCCGAAACAAGCCCCACAAATCACTATTACAACCCGAGACCCCCCTTCCACCCATTGAAGGCCCCATGTTATCCCTCAGCCTGTCTCCACGAAATTGCCTCTCCTCCTCCTTCTCCCCGGACTTGTTGAGGGGGCGACGCTCCTCTCATCGAGGCCCTCGGGATCAGCCCCTGACTCTGAATGAGAAAAGCCCTCTTCCCCGTTCACCCCACCCCCGGGTCAGCGTGTGGCAGATTCAAACTGGAGGAGATCGAGCCCTCCTCCTCCTCCTCCTCCTCCTTT